ACACACACACACATATACACATGTATTCACACACACACACATGGTGACCTTTAAAAGTGTGATAACAGAGAGTGTTCTCACTTCTCTTTGCTTATTCACACTATTTGTAAACAGAAACCATAACTTCCTTTAGACATAATTTATAAAAGTTGATTTCCTTTGCAGCAGGTTGACTTTAGCTGACCAGAAGCTCGCAGAAAACAGGGCTGCACCCAAACTTTCTATTTAAAAAGAACTAAGGCAATCCCACTCATACAAAGTTGCTCCAACCATTGGGGCCACACTGAAGTAAAGTTACTCTACTCCTTTATCCTAATGTTGTGATAAAAAGTCTCTTTTACAAGGAAGCTGAGAGAAAGCACTTAATGTCAAACATAAAAGCTGCAGACAAACAACAACAATATGTACAGTATAAATAAATTAGAATGTAAAGGACCAGTGTGTAGGATTTGGTGGCATCTAGTGGTGTAAATGATGAAAAGATGGCAACTCCCTCCTCCTTACCCTTCACTTCCAATTGCAAAGAGGAAACTACAGTGGCCCCTGTCTAGAGCCGGTGTCTGCAGAGGCGGCTCTATTAAGAGCCTTCGATCTGCTGCTGATGTGTTCTGACACTAAGCTGTTGTGGTCTGGGCAGACTAATGCACTGTTTTAGGACAACACAGTGTTTTTTGGGTGGTCTGTGTGTTAAGTTTGCCTTTGTCCACCCTGGTCTGGTCCACGCCAGCTGTATCTAAGGGCTTACACTTGCATATTGCGTAGCGAGCCAACTGTCTGCTAGAAACTTGTCGTTGTGGTGGAAAAAGCTATAATTATTTTAATTTCATTCATATGAGTTGTATGACTGTGATCATCGTAGCAGGTTTATTCTATGGTAACAAAAACGTTACAATTCTTATTACATAGTAATGAAAACACACCTGTGAACATTATATTCCATTTATGCCAATAGATCCTCCTACATGTTACACACTGGACCTTTAAAAGACCATGACTTGTAGTAGTTCAGCTCTAGGGCTGAGATCCACTGTACTAGATCAACCTGTGCCCAACACTGTTGCACATTTATTTTGTCTGTTTGGATCATGAAGAGACAAAAGAAAAATACATGTTTTTCCTGTCGTGAGGTGGAGGTTAAAGTTTCAGTTGCTATGACAATAGTTACATGGTTGCATGTTTAAATTCAGCCTGAGAGAGAGTTTGCAGCTTGGTTAGAAACCAACAGCCACACTGTTGATCATTTCCATGATAATCACTGTTTGGGAGCATGTCGTGCTTTATTGTCCATTATCCTTAATTACAAGTTATTTTTCTTTGTTCGTTTGTATTTTATTTATTTAAACCTACTACAAGGAGTTTTTAACTTGTTATAAAACAGTCTCAGTTTAATACTGCCTCATTATGACCTGCATAAACAAACAACACCATCAGCGAGAAAATTGGCTCTTTCTATATAATTATTCCTAAGGCCTGATTTGGTTGGATTCCCCTCGAAATCAATAAAACGAGGCGGTGGAAACACTCCTGCTTCTGTATCTTCTAGAATCAACAAAGAAGGAAAGTTACTTGTAGGGGCTTTATGTTGCAAAATGCTCACGTTATTACGTTTATTATTCTCAACCAGTGACTGATACAAGTTACTGTAATGCTGATTAAATCCACTGCCAGCTTAGGAAAGACTTTAAAGTTAAATAACACATTATGATACGTTCTATGACAGTACAAGAAGAACCTGGTAGTTAGCTCGAGCAGTGAGAGGCACAACTGTTCAACAAACAAAGACGCAGGGACAAACTACAGAAACTCAAACTTCATTGACAGAAAATCAAAGGAAAAAGGTGTCACAGTCTGCGCCCACACTGTTTAGGGAGGAGGTCAGTAAAAAAACACCAGGGCAACAAAGATGGAGACAAAATGAAAAATGGAATAAATAAATAAAATAAAATACCTATTAACCAGGTTGATAAACTAAGAAGTTTCCATGGGTACAAGGGCTCAAATGAGTGAGAAGAGAACATCACAAACATCAGACTATAGACATGACAGGACTGCCAGTCCACCCACTGCACTTAGAGGAAATACCCATTCACATTCTGTCACTCCTGAAATAGAATACAGTCATATTTGTACTGAGAGTAGGACAGGTAGTACAGTGACAACGGAAACTCCACTACACAGAGAGGGGTTTTTAAAAACATGACACAATGATATTTGATGGACAGTTTGGTCTAAAGCCACCAGATATTATCAAAAGTGCAAGTACTTTCAGCTGGAGTGACAGCAGAGTTGAAACCCCAACAGCTTTAACAACCCTGCAGCAACAGGACTTCAATCTGACTCCTGCTATATTAAGAATATTGTATTTATAGTTATATGTGTCTGTTGCACCCCTCTCGCCCCTTTCGTCCCCGAAAGTGAAAAAAACAAGTCACATATTTCATTAAATGAGCACGGCTTCACTAGCGTTTTAGATGAGTTGTTAATTAAATGACAAATGCACTTTCCCAAAAACGAAAAAGGGACAACTTTTTAAAGACACAACCAAAAGCGTCCACCTCCGCTGTCAAAACAACGACTCTCATTTCATCGGAAAAATTAAAACCAAAGCTGTAATGGAAGCTGACACTTGGCAGTTGGAGTTATTTTAATGTTGGCGGTGGACTGTGATCTGAAAGTCTGCCTTTGTGTTTGACACTAAAAAGGCACAGTGGAAAGTCAGGGTGTTGTGGTCACAGTGGAAGATGGTCACAAACAACTCGCTTACATTTATGAAAGACGGTTTTATTTTCAGCAGGTGGTTTGCTTATTCAACCATGACCAAACTTAACACTACCCTTCCACAAACTTATCTTAAAGGGTCAGATCATCAGAATAATCCAGCGGGTTCTACAAAGACAGATAGCTTTGGTTTTATCTGCTGAGGATTTTAGATATCGTCTGAGATTTGCTGCCCCAATATAATGGAGGAGAATAACATTTGGTTTGTGGTGCTCGCAGCTTCAGAGGAACTGGAGATACTTATATGATAAGTTATATGCCATTTACTGAGCCCTGCTAGCAAGTATTATTTAAAAAAACACTAACCATGTTTCTTGCTCATGAATAGATAATGTAATTTGGCATTTAGCTGCACTCTCCTCCGGTTCTTTTCTCCTTTTAAAGCTCTCCCGCTCTGCCTTCCCTCTGTCTCCTGTGCTGTTACATTTCTTCTCCATGTCGTGGCTGAATGTTGTGTTTATGTGTACGTTGACAGACAGACATCATACCATCAGGTTAAACGAAGGCGGAGGGCCTGACGGACTACATTTCTGAGTGACTGCTGCTCTGTGTCGCTTTGATTTACCCATTTTATCTTTAACATCAGCCTGACAGTCCAAGGGGAATTCTCCCAGTGCTGCTCAATTGTCAGTCCAGACCTGCATAAAAATGTTATTTTTACTGGCCTGAACCTGAAAAAAGTTGCTTTTAAAGCTGACAAACTACAGAAACTCAAACTTCATTGACAGAAAATCAAAGGAAAAAGGTGTCACAGTCTGCGCCCACACTGTTTAGGGAGGAGGTCAGTAAAAAAACACCAGGGCAACAAAGATGGAGACAAAATGAAAAATGGAATAAATAAATAAAATAAAATACCTATTAACCAGGTTGATAAACTAAGAAGTTTCCATGGGTACAAGGGCTCAAATGAGAGATTCTCCATTTTCTTAACTAAACTCACTTTATACTTTATGGTTCTTTATGTGTGCCCCGCTTGTCTGAACTTGAAAAAGGCCTTTATGTGCTGCCTCACAATGGAAAAAATTAATTAAACGCAAATAGAATCAGCTATAAAAAAGTTGGATGTCATTTTGTCTGGCTTTAGTGCTGCAAGTGTCACATTTACATTACTGAGTAATCTCATTTAGTGTCAACATCAAAAATATCTCAGTGCTCACTTCACATTACAAAAGTTGTTGCCTTTCTGAGAAAGTTGAGTCATGTTTATCATTAGAGAGTAGACAACATACCAACGTACCTATGTAGGACCTTGCTGGATGTTATCGCAACATTTCTAGTTAAAAGTGAGGCATACAAGACTTTCATACCAGTAAATATCTTCTGGGGACCAACAGAGCTTGTGTAGTCATACGGCGGTCGTACTCACATGTGGCTCAGTGACAAACAAAAGCACTCGGTGGCTGAAAGTGAAGTAACATAATGAAAACAACAATGACAATGGAAAACTCCACTCAGTCAGTGTGTCAGTGTGTGTGCGACAACAGAGAGGTCACTGAGAGGAAATACACCCTACATGTGATCAGTAAACAACCAAACACACACACACACACACACACACACATACACAGTTGGTGGACGTCACAGCGGAAGCCACGGACCTTCCACAACAACATTTCCATCTTGAAGTGTGCGTTCTTCTGAGCGAGGAGGGGTCTTTCCTTTCATTGACTTCTGTGATCACACTCACTCAAAAAGCAAACTTAAGAGAAGAAACAAAATTGTGATCGTTGTATTTGTTGCTGAGGTCGAAAGAAACCAGCAGATTTGAGCGCGGCGCTTATCCACCTCAACACAAACAACAGACAAGGCAGGAAATGAAGAAGTGGACCCTGCTTGCTTCCTTTACCAATGAGAGATTGAGATTTGACCTGTTGACATGAAAGATTACAAAGTGGAGAAAGTGGTTGAAGTAAAAGGGTTGTATTTGGGTAAATACTGTAACTTTATGTATTTTTTATGTATTCTGGAAGAAAGGAAGAAAATAAATACAG